TCATGGTGGGGGAGCCATCCCAAGTCGAAACCAATCCATTGAGGATGGAAAAGGAAAGAGAGGGAAAGAACTGGGTCCTTGATGACTTTGTGGAACTGCTCTGAGAACCTATCAGAGGTTCTATCTCTGAGGTTCTTTCTTTTTTTTTTTTTTCATGAAATAATAAAAGTTTTTTTTTTTATCAGAACCACTTTGAGTTTGATTTCCCATTACTTGCAGCTCAAGGTGTCCTAAAGGACAGAGCTTTCCCGCATTATCTCTAAGCCCATGCGCAAACCCTCTTGCTTCTCAGAGCTTGCAGGCCAAGCCTTCCTCTTTCCCTCTGCTGACTGCAGCAGATTCAATGTAGAATTGCAAATGCTTTTTCAATCTGTGAGGAAAAGAGTCAGAAGGCGGCAATGGGCTCTGCTCTGCAGTGCTGCCCCGTTGCTACAGATGACTTCTGTCCAGTACTGACCGCAGCACACAGATATCTGGGGAGGCAGGTGCAATAGCCTTGCAGATTGTCATAACTGGCTTCAAGTCTACATCTACTGCTTCCTAACTGTGTGACTTTGCGCAAATTAGTTAACCAGAGCCTTGGTTTTCTCACTGGAGGTGGTAAGGGTTGAATTAGATAGAAGAGAACAACAAACAACCCTTACATGAATCCTAGACCTGAGAAGCTGTCCTCTAAAGACTACCACCCCTCTTCCTATTCCTTTTGACTGCTGGGTTGGATGTGAGAGAGGTTGGGAAGGGTCCAAAGAGATATCGGCGAGAGAACCCAATCAAAGGAAGAATGTGAGCTCCCAGATAGCAGTGACTTGACCTGCTACACAAAAGGGCCCCCCTCCACGTGTTTGATGTCTGAATGAATGAAAGAATAAACGGGAAAAATAAGAATGAGAGGGTTAGAAAGACAGGGATTTCACCCACAGGGAGACAGACTAATGGAGGGCTTTGTCAAATTCCAAGGATCAATACCTAGGATGCAGATGAGTCAGGAGAGGCTAGGTAATGCCAGTGGTAACAACCAACCCCCTCCAATCCCAGGGGTTTTATAACAACCATGTTTATTTCTTGTTTATGTACTACACGGTGAGTTATTCAAAATCACTCAAAGATTTAGCTGAAGGAAGCTCTATGTAGACATGCTTCTATAATGATAGCAGCAAGGCCCACAAAATGTGGTAGATCCCACACTGGCTCTTAAGTCACCTGCCCAGAAGTGGTTCACTTCACATCTGCTCATATTTTATTGGCCAAAGCAAATCACATGGCCACACTTGAGTCCAACTGATGGAGAAACCTAATCCTCTGTTCCCAGAAAAGAGGACGGGCAGTGTGTCAGCAATCCTGACCCCTACCATCAGTGGTATATAGGTCATCAGAGGGTCCTTGGGCTGAATGCAGCTCAGATATGGCTTGTTTGGCCTGTTCGTATTTTAAATATTTTTTATAAGGTTTCTAACCTATATGATATTAAGATAATGTCATAGATGAATCTGCATAATCCTGGCTAAATTTGGAAAATTGGACTCTTTGGTAATAGGGTGCCCAGGTATATTAATTAGGATTAAGTTGGGTAGATTGTAACAGGAAAACTCAAAATAACAGAAGCTAAAGTAAGATAGATATTTCTTACATGCAAGAAGGCTGGAGATAAATAGGCAACCCAGAACTGGGGCTGTGGATTTAATATTAGGGGCTCAGGCTCCTTTTCCTCTCTGCTCTGTTGTCTACAGTGTGTCACTCCCACTTGTGAAGATTGTTTCATGGTCCATGATTGCTTCTGGGGCTCCAGCCCGCACATTCATACTCTAGGCTGAGTTGGCTCTCTTTCTACTGCCTTTCCAGAATCTCTGCACAAAGCTTCTACTCACATGTTATCTGTCAGAAATAGTCATCCCGGCTATACCAAGTGCAAGGGAGGATGGAGGTAGTCACGTGACTATGCTCAGGCCAAGGTAGTCTTGGGATAAAATTTGCCCAGCTGAAAATAAATCCTCATTCTACTATTAAAGAGAAAGATCTGAGGTTGCCATAGGCACCTACGAGTCTCTCTGCCAGGGGTTTACAGTCCTGATTGCCTGGACCAGAAGAACAAATCCCTTGCTTACACTGGGCTCTCCCAATTTGCCACAGACCCCACCGCCCCCTAATGCTTCCTACCCCACTCAGTGTCAGTTGCTATTTATCACTGGGCTTGTGCTGGCTTTATCTTTCTTAGTGGAATTAATTAGAAAAAGAAATATTCCCATGTCTCTATTAGAAATCAAAAGAGCAAAAGATATACCAACAGAGACACATGTTTCAAGCAAAATGAGAGTGGAAGCATATTTCTTTGGGGAAGAGAAAAATATTCCTAGCTATGTATCATGCAAACAAGGTGTATTGAAAAAAATCAACTTAACACTATTAAGAAACAGCTGACTTGGGCAGCCCTGTGGCTCAGCGGTTTAGCGCCGCCTTTGGCCCAGGGCATGATCCTGGAGACCCGGGATCGAGTCCCATGTCGGGCTCCCTGCGTGGAGCTTGCTTCTCCCTCTGCCTGTGTCTCTGCCTCTCTGTGTGTCTCTCATGAATAAATAAATAAAATCTTAAAAAAAAAAAAAAGAAACAGCTGACTTGCTTTTGCTCACCACTCTGGCCTGGCAGGCATTTTACCAGTTGTACAGCTCCCTGGGAAGACAGTGGCCTCAGATCTCCCTGGTTCTGCACAGCTCACCCCTCTCTCTCTGAGAGGAGAACAGCCCCATTTTGTCCAACCCCTCTCACCCTTCATTTGGAATGATGTTGCCCTTCTTTGTATTTGGGGCTTATTTTGAGCAAGTTCAAAACCGTCTTGCAAAGTTCAAGATCATTATGGCAGGCAAAAATGCAGTGAAATAGCACACCACTGTCAGTTAATTACTAAAAATCCTTTAATAGCTGACATTATTATAAATTATATACCCATTATGACAGGGACAATTGGGCTCTCTGTTTTTCTTGCCCTGCATTGGAACCCCAAACAATGCTGTCTTGTTGGGGAGAATGACCTGGGTGCACTTGGAGGCAAGTTGGGAGTTTACATGGGCTACCTATGCTGACTACAGCAGCCTGTGGGCCTCCGAGGACCTGTGGGTGGGGGTGAGGCTGCTGCCTCACAGGGCTCCAGAACCAACCCCCTGTCTCTGTTCCTACCTGCCACCCTCACTGCTATGGCCACAAGTCCCTTCCCCATGGGCCTCCCAACTCCCTCTGCCCTGTTCCCCACTCCTCTCTGTGTCTAGGCGTAGCTCAAAGAGCTCCTCCTCCTGGCAGCTTTGCCTGATTCTCCTTCCAAAGCTCCAGACACATGGTAGGCTAGTTCTCTTTTTCTTGATTGATTTTTAAAAGATTTTATTTATTTGAGAGAGAAAGAGAGAGCAAGTGAGGGGAGGGGCATATAGAGAGGGAGAGAACATCAAGCCAATGTGCCACTGAGAGGGGAGCCTGATATAGGGCTCAATCTCACGACCCCTGAGATAGCAACCTGAGTCAAAAACCAAGAGTCATATGCGTAACTGACTGAGCCATCCAGGTGCCCCAGTGTTTATATTTGTCAGGTGCCCCTTACGTGCCAACTTTCATGATTTTTTACATATGTGCACATTGTGTAACCCCCCTTGCAAACCAAGATGTAGAGCTAACTCAGAAATGTTCCTGTGCATGGGAATCCCATCAGAAGCATGTAACAAATGCAGCTTCTGACCTGACCCAGAGATGCTGATTCAGTGGCCCAGGACGGCAGGTTAACTGCACGGGATCTCCAGGTGGAGGGGCCCCCACCGACCCTTGGAGAAGCCCACTCAGTGCTTGCTGGGAAGGTCCCTGGGTCTTAGACGGGAGGCATCCTCTGGACCTTTTATGTCAGTGTGTCTCTCCAGCAAGATTCTGGGCCGGGAGTGGCACCCAACGGTGAATCCAGGCTGGCTACAATCTGAAGCTGCACAAAAAACTGCACTTTTTAAGAAAAGTGACATTTGCCCCACTGCCTCTGGCGGCCACTAAAGGTTTGTGGTCTTAGATGTTGTCAGGGTGAAAAGTCATCTACTGGACAAGATAGAGTGTCCCCCAGCTCCCTCCCTCCCTCCCTCCAGGCTGAGGTGGGATGCTCAGCCTCGCCCCCTGTTAGAGTCACCCGGGGAAGCTGAAAACCGAAAACTAGCCCTGGACCCCCATCAGATATTTTGATTTAATTGGTCAGGGGGTGGGGGACCAGGCTTTAGTATTTTTTTCAAGCTCCCAAGTGATCCTAATGCATAGTCGGTGCTGAGGACCCCTGAGCAGAGAGATCTGACTCAGAATTTTAAGCTGTCTTTTTCTGGCTGTGGTCCGTGTCCTTGAGGCCACCTCCAGGGGTCTTCCTCCATCCTGGGGACAAATCAACCAGTAATATCAGGTGATTATCAAGCACCTAATCCTCATGGCTGCGCTGCATGTTTGCAGGGAGGATGCTGAACTCAGGAAACCTTAGTGATTGCTTTCAGAGCCCTGGTGGTGAGGCTGGAGCTGTGGCTTTGCCTGGCCTGACTGTCCTGGAAGCAGTGCCTGCTTACTGACCACCAGCTATGCCTAGGGCACAGGTCCAGGGCCATCTTTATCCTTTAGGCACAGCAGATACAGGACCTAGGGGCTTAATTTTAAGGGACTGATTGGATGTTTTAATTTTTATTTCTTTTTTAAAGAATATTTTATTTGTTTGAGAGAGAGAGAATAAGCAGGGGTGAGGAAGGGCAGAGGGAGAGGGACAGACTCCCCACTGAAAGGGAGCCCAACACGGAGATCGATCCCAGAACCCCAGGATCACGGCCTGAGCCGAAGGCAGCCACTCAACCGAGTCACCCAGGTGACCCCTTAATTTTGAGTTTTGTATGAAATCAGAAGAAAAAAAAATGATGCATAATAAATATATAACAACAAATCTAGCCTGGATTACATTTGTCTTTATACCAATACACTTGTAAAATATACTTCATTTTTTTTTTTTAAAGGAAGAAGTGACTAATGAAGGTGGAAGTGTCCAGGGCCTACGGAAGTTGGAATGCAGCTCTGCACACAGTCCTGGGCTCTGGAAGGCAGGCGTTGGCCACTGTGCCAACTTCCCCGACTGAGCATGGCTGGTGCCAGTGGGCATTGAGACCAGAGATGTTTAACACACACCTGCTGTGTGCCATCAGGTGTATCCCGGTCAGCCTGGGAAGAGAAGATATTACATAGAAAACCAAGGGCAAGACAAGATAGGATGCGCTCTCCAATGGTGGTCAATTATTACTTTTATCTCTTCTTGGCTTTGTCATTTTGTCTGTCACTAACTAGGTCATGCCCTCTTTGGTGATGGATTGATTTCATATGTTGAATTCTACAGCCAACCATTTTTTGTTGACTTATTCTTTTCTTCAGCCAATGTTTACTAATATTCATAATTCAGGTTTTTAAAAAGATTTATTTATTAGAGAGAAGGAGAGCACATGTATGAGGGTGTGTAGGAGCAGCGGGAAAAGGAGAGAGAGAACTCAGGCAGACTCTGCGCTGAGTGTGGAGCCCGATGCAGAGCACGATCCCACAACCCTGAGATCACGACCTTGAGCTGAAATCAAGATTTGGGCACCTGGGACACCTGGGTGGCTCAGCATTTGAGCATCTGCCTTCGGCTCAGGGCTTGGTCCCCGAGTCCCAGGATCGAGTCCCACATTGGGCTCCCTGCATGGAGCCTGCTTCTCCCTCTGTCTATGTCTCTGCCTCACTCTCTCTCTCTCTCTATGTCTCTCATGAATAAATAAATAAATAAAATCTTAAAAAAAAAAGTCGGACACTTAACTGACTGGGCTACCCAGGTGCCCCAATTCAGTTGATTTTTTTTTTAAATACTGGATTTAATTATTTTTGAGTGGCTAATTCTGCCCATGTTGCAGAGATTCAGAAGGTACCAAAGAGGGCAAACCAAGAGGGCTAGAAGCAGGAGAAAGAGGGACATGTCTTTTGGACTGAACCTTGGCCTTATTTAGATTTTGCACCATGTGTAAGCAATACCTATTTAATAGAATGAGTTAAAACAAGCAAGGAAGCAAACAAAATAACCAAACAGTTATGGGTTGAAAAATAATCCCCATCTCACCTGGCTTCCACCCCCAGCCAAACTCTCCAACCCCATAGACAACTGCCTTGACCCGCTTATCCTGCCTCTTTCCCAAGATAGTTTATGTGTATGCACATGAGACTTAAAAAAAATTATGCAAATTGTAGCATACTGCCCGCATTTTTTTTTAATAAAGACTTTATTTATTTATTCATGAGAGACAGAGAGGCAGAGATATAGGCAGAGGGAGAAGCAGGCTCCCTGGCAGGACTTGATCTCAAGACCTGAGCCTAAGGCAGACTCTCAGTCACTGAGCCACCCAGGTGCCCCTTGCCCACATTGTTGTGCATCATTTGCTATCTTGATTTTTTCATACTGAAAATGGCCTCTTTTCCACAACTGGGTGATTTCCATTATTTATTTAACTAGATCCTCTACAGATAAAGTTAGGGTTGTTCACAATCTCTTTCTTATAAAGTGACCTTATAGAGCATAATCCCCCACTGTAAGTTATGCATATGTAACTGCGTATACATCATTTCACTCCTGTGCAAGCACATCTGTATGGTTTCTGTAGAAAGTGGAGCAGTAGTGTCAGCAGGTGTGGGCATGGCTCTAGGGAGACGAGTTGGGACCGCTGTATCTATCAAAAATGAAATCCCCACTTCCCAGTTTCTAGCACCTCCTGGGTGCTAGATGAGGGGTCAAGAGATGAGGAGCACTCAGACTGAGCTCTCAAGGGGCTCTCAGGTGTGGACAAATCACTCTTGGCCCAGGAAGGAGGGATGTAAAAACGCTAGGACAGTGCAAGGAAGATAGCCTTGGCCCTCTCACTGGGGAGAGAGAAAGAGAGAGAGAGAGAGAGAGAGAGAGAGAGAGAGAGAGAGAACGTTTGTTCAGAGAAGGAAGGTCATTCCAGGCAGAAGGATCAGCATATGTGAAGATTGGATGTCAGAGAGCAGGACACAGGGGAACTTTGGGGCAGTTCGAGGAGCAGTCCCTCTCATGGTCAGGGTCCCTGTGGTGGGAGGGGGATGTGAGATGGGACCTGCAGCCGGCAGGGTCTAGAAGGTCCTTTTGAATGTTCTGGTCATGAGGATCCATTAAAGGGTTTTCAATCTGGGAGCCTCAGGATCAGAGCGGAATGCTAGAAGGCTCTCTCTGGCCATGGTGGTGTAGAGGAATTGCTGAACGCAGACATTTATTTGAATAAGTTCCCAGTCCCCGAGGGGCATTACATAACTGTATGTATGTTCACAAAATACCTTTGGCCTCTAGCAAATGCCCAGTAGAAACCTGTTGAAGTAAAATGAGCCACATTGTTGTCTGTGGGTGTTGTCTCTCCAGTGAGGGTCCCTGTATTCCCCTGAAGGCTGAGGGGGTGAGCCACATCCAGGAGGCCCAGGGTTAAGCCTGGGGCAATGGTCTGATGCCGTTCATCAGAAGTCGCCCTTCTCTGTCAAAAGCTCATGGGACCCTGCATTCTATTCCTTGATATATCTGGGTTAGCTTTAATATTAAACATGGACTATATTACAATATAAAAATAAATTTCTCCAACATATATATTTTTTAAAGTAGGTTCCACACCCAGCTCGAAGCCCAACATGGGACTTGAATTCACAAACCTGAGATGGAGACCAAAGCTGAGATCAAGAGCTGGATGCTTAACTGACTGAGCCAACCAGAGGCCCTTTCTCCATCGTCGTTGAGTCAAATGAACTCTTTGACTTCAAGAGGCCACCACCCCCACCCAGCTTGAGAAGGATGTGTGGGTTAGCTACTGGGTGGGGGTTAGCCTGCTGCCCCACAGGAAATCCACAGTCCTCACCCCGACCTCTGCACAACTGCCTCCAGCCCTCTTAAAAATCGTGTGAGACTTACTGCACTTCACTCATTCATGCCTCCATCCATCCACCCATTCATTCATTCTGTATTTCTGAAAGCTGGTAATGTGCAGAGCGCTGCCCTCTCCTGCATCATCCATGTGGAGCCAAATGAGAGTAGCAGCTCTAAATGCTTTGCATAGGGGATCCCTGGGTGGCGCAGCGGTTTGGCGCCTGCCTTTGGCCCAGGGCGCGATCCTGGAGACCCGGGGTCGAATCCCACGTCAGGCTCCCGGTGCATGGAGCCTGCTTCTCCCTCTGCCTGTGTCTCTGCCTCTCTCTCTGTCTCTCTCTGTGACTATTATAAATAAATTAAAAAAAAAACCTTAAATGCTTTGCATAATAATCTCAGTGAGTACGACAGCCCCTATGAGACAGGTACAATCATTACAGAGGGGGAGCTGAAATTCAGCGAGCATAGGTAAAGTGACAAGGCCACTGTGTCAGGGGCAGAAACAGAATTCGAACCCAAGCAATCTGACCTCTGGAGCCTGCCTTCCTACTTCCTGCACCACATCCTCTGGGCATTTGGGCTGAGACGGCCATAAGCACTGGGAGAAGGAGCAAGGAGCTCAAGGAATCAGAACCTTGGCTGGATTCCTGGCTTCCCTGCAACCGGTCCTGTGACCTTGAGTGAGTAACCCTCCTTCCCGGGTACTAGGTAATCTCCCCAGCCATCCCTTATCCCTGCCACTTTCTGCTCTGTACTTGTGAAAGGCTGCTTAGAGAGTGGAGGGTGTGATCCATAGGGGGTTCTCTTGGTTCCCTTACACAGCCGACCTTCCTTCTCCCGGTCACTTCTCATGGTGGGCTGCTGAGTCCTACTGTGCCGCAGAACTTAATTCATCTCGCTCCTGCCTCGGGCCAAGTAGGTCCACTTTATAGATGAGGAAACTGAGTCTCCCAGAGGCTAGTTTTAACAACCCTGCGCACCCAGGCTTACCCTGGTAGAGATCGACTCTGTGCTCATTTCAGCTACTATCATTTACTCAGCACTTGTTAGGTGCCAGACATAGTGTGAAGAATTTTAATCTTCAAAACTGTTTCCCAATATTTTTATTCCAGGTTATATCTCAGGCTTTCCATCTGGAATCTATAACCTGGGAATGAAGATGGCACCCACCTGGTTGTAGGGGTTACCAAAGGAGTTAAAAGAAGTTGCCCAAGGCCACACAGCTAAGAGGTGGCTAAACAGGACTTGAATCCAGGTCTGTTGGGTTGAACAAAGTAATGGTGAAGAACCACTTCTCTACTGCCCAAGCAGAGGTTGCCTGGAGTGGCCAGAGATAAACCAACATTTAATGCATTGGGTCTCTGGTAATGGGTCCCATAATTCCATAATTGTAGACAGGACCAGGAAAAAAAATCATTTTTTTTTCTGCAAGAAAGTAGTAAAAAAGAAAAAAAAAGAAAGTAGTAAAAAAGCAAGCAAATAAACAAGCAAAAGATCCTGAAAGTGGGTGAGATTGGCGATTGGTTAAATCAGTGTTCCCAGCATTGCAGGTATCCAGGTAGTCCTGGGCTAATTTTAAGTGATGCACAAACATATTTTATGTCTTTATTTTTTAATTTATTTATTCATGAGAGACACAGAGAGAGAAGCAGAGACATAGCCAGAGGGAGAAGTGAGAAGCAGGTGCCCTGTGGGGAGCCTGATGTGGGACTTGATCCCAGGACCCTGGATCACAACCTGAGCCAAAGGCAGATGCTCAACCACTGAGGCACCAGGTGCCCCTTATGTCCTCATTTTAAAATGATAAATATAACTAGCACACTTCTGACTCTGTGGATATTATTGCTTATGAGAAGGCCAAGTAAGAGCGAATTGATTTTTAACATTAAGTGTGAACAGATGTGTTCACCGTTGAGATGTCCTCACACACTCAGATATATAACAGCAATTCATGCTGGTTCTATCTTCAAGCCGCTGAGCCACTCAGGGATCCTCTGGTTCTATCTTCAGATCTGTTCAGGACCCAACCACCGGTCCTCAAGCCAGCGTGGTCTCCTCTGGACCACTGCAACAATTACCCACTGGTCCCTGCTCCCTGGACCACTGCAACAATTACCCACGGGTCCCTGCTCCCTGGACCACTGCAACAATTACCCACTGGTCCCTGCTCCCTGGACCACTGCAACAATTACCCACTGGTCCCTGCTCCCTGGACCACTGCAACAATTACCCACTGGTCCCTGCTCCCTGGACCACTGCAACAATTACCCACTGGTCCCTGTACCCAGCTCTGTCCCCTGCAGTCTAGTTTCCACATGGCCACTAGAGGGAGCCATCTAAAATAAGGCCACCCATGCCCCCCCACCCCCCCTTCTCAGAACCTCCAGGGGTGCTCCCCTTGCTCACCAGGACAAGCCAAAGACCTGACGATGGCCTGTGTGACCCTTCAACCTGTCCCCCCAGTATTTCTCACATAGTATCACCTCTTTGAGGGTCCTGGAGCGCGCCAGGCACATTCCCACCTCCAGAACCTTGTACTTGGTGTTCTCTGTGCCTAGAACATTCTTTCTCATAAGTAGTGACATAGGGGTTCCCCAGCCACCATCAAGACTTTGTTCAAATGTCACCTTCCCAGGGAAGTGTTTCCTGACCACGTTCTCTGTATTGGTGCTACATACATAACACACCTACCCTCTCTTGGTATTCCTCTCTCCTCTTGTCTGCTTTATTTTTAATGTTGGCACATTTACCTCCCAATATACCATATACCTGGTTATTTTGCTTATGGTCTGTCCTCCCACTAGACTCTATGAGCTTAGGAATTTTTTGTATTTTGTTTACAGCAGGATCCCGCACTCATAACATGCCTGGCACCCCATGGGAAGGATATGTTGAACGAATGAACACAAAGTTCCACCCATGTACATGTGCATTTTTCTTTTTTTTTTTTTTTTACATGTGCATTTTTCAAAGAGGGTCCATAACAATCACCAAAGCCTCAGAAAGGTTGTCTACCATCTACAGGTGCCCTGACTGCCCCATAGGGGCCATGTTGGCCAAGTAGATTTACCTTCCAAAGGAGCAGAAAATACTACTTAGCCAGTCAGGCCTACAGTTGTTCTCTCATTATGAAAGTTAATAAGTGGGGCCTTGGTCTATCCGTCACTCTCCCAGGCGAAGTGGGAGAGGACGCATCATTCACCTTGCCAATCCATCTGACCATAGCAGGAGGTTGCCCAGACTCTCTCTGCGATGCTTCTGTTCATAAGCAGTCGCCCCTACAGCTTGCCTCTTCCCGCCACCAAGAAGCAAGTGCTGCCTTGTGTGATTTCTGCTGTTTCATGCCTTGTGCCTTCCCAGCTAATATGGAAACTTTCCAAGGGCAAAGGACCACATGTTCTTTTCCAGGACCAGGTACTAAGAGGAGGAAGATTCAGCTTAAGCAGCCCCAGGTTCAAGTCCCCAGTCTGCCACATAATGGACTGTGTGACCAGAGACAAATTACTTATGCTGTTTCCTTCTCTAAAAAAACAGGTCTAGTAAGAATGATTACTTCTTCACTGTATCATTTTTTGGGGGGTGGATTTGACAAGATAGTGCATATGGATGTTTGACACAGTATGATGATGAGCACGAAGCTTGGCGAAGCGAGAGATCTGAATTCAACCCACCCCACGAATTCTTACCGACTGCCTACTACGGGGTAGGTGTTGAGCTAGGGACTGGTGAGAAGGAATCGGGCAGGTGCTGTCTTGTGTGAATTACCTTCTTTGATGGCACAGGGTGTTCTCATATGGCCTGTTTCTGACTTCAGTCCCTCAGCGCTGCTGCAGGTGGCTGGGGCCTAATAGCTTCACCATCTCTCCCCACGTGGGGCTCATGTTCCAGAGGCAGAGAATGGACACAGAATTAGGTGGTTATGAATTGTGAGAAGGACTATAGAGAGAAAGCACCGGGTGCTTTGGGAAAATACCAGGATCATGGGAAGGGAGCAGATTTGAAGCTGAGAGGTTAGGACTTATTCTCTGTGAGTTACTTTGTGAGAGAGGTGGCTGCAGAGAGCTGAGGAGCAGCAGCTGGGGTCCCCCTTGCCTCCTCTCCTATACCCCCTTGGAACTGGAGCTTGTTTTCCCCCGGGGTGGTCTAGGAGGGTGCCCTTAGGCTGCAGCTCACAGTTCTGTCCTGCTGGGCTCTCCCTCACACACCCCCTAGTGGTCACTGTGCACGCCGATGCTCTGCGGGATGGGCCCTGGAAACCCAAGGACAGTGGAACTGACGGTCACTGCCTTTCCCTTCCGGATACTACTCTGCTAAGAGGCATCTTCCTATAATGAGGCGTCTTTCTCATGTCATTTAATTTTGATAATGGCCCCAAGCATGATTCCTAGTCCCATTTTACAGATGAGAACCCAGAGGCTCAGAGAGCCGAGGGAGGTTTAGGAAGGTCAGTACTGAACTCAGGCCTACCAGACTCTGGTTTCAGGGCTCCTCATGTGGCATCAAGCAGGCACCCCACCCCCTAATGTCACAGCTCTGCATGAGCAAGAGCAGAAGCCAAAATTTGAGTTATCGCTCAGAGAAGAAGGTAGCCTTCCCTAAGAAGGTAACCCATCGCCAGCCTGCTGCCCCTATTACTTTTGCTTCCCACATACCTGCACCATATCCCCTGCCCCCAGCTGGCTGGGTTCAAATTCTGCCTCTGCAGCAAACTAAAATCTTGTGCAAATTGAAGCCTCTATGCCTCTGTGTCCTTATCTGTAAAATCGTGGCAACAACCATATCTACCCCCAAAGTGTCAAGTGGCATTTGGGGCCTCACCCCACAATACTTTGATTCAGCAAGTCCAACGGACCACATTTTGAAAGTGACTGCCCTGGAAGGGCGTGCTTTGGCAACACAGACCCACACACCACTTTCTAGCTGTTGGGGGTGAGCATTCATACTGGTTTATGCCTGGTCTGGTTTTAGCATTTTAGCACTCTCAACAGTATCTTCATGTCAGTGGCAAATTAAATGGCGAGTTCCCGTGCCTCAGTTTCCTCATCTGTAAAATGAAAATAATAATAGAACCCATCAGGATTGTTGTGGGAATCCAATGACTGAATCCTTACAAGGCCTGAAACATTGCCTTGCCCACAGTAAGCAGTCAGTAGGCGGGAACTACGGTTGCTGCAATCCCCAGCCAAACCAGCAACTACCCTGGTAAAAGAAAAATACTCTGCATTGCCTTGAGTGTCTCTTAGTATTTCCTCCCCCGCCCCCCATCCACCCCGGGGTTGAGAAATGACCCGAAAGGAAACAGGAGAGGGGCTTCTGGGTGCTGATTACGCAAGTGTTGGAGTCTCTTGCGAAAATCCATCTTGCCATTGACTTGCGATTTGCGCGCTTAACATGTACTATCTCCTAGGATCTTCACGGTCCAGTGAAGAACGCAGGGTAGGCATCGTCATTTTTTCAAACAAGAAGCTGACAGCTATTTTGATTTGGCCAGGCCAGAGCGGTTAGGGGGTGGGGGTGAGGAAGCTTCTCGGCCCGGTCTTCCTTTCATGAGCACCACGCAGCGCGCACAGCACCTGGCTGCAGGTAAAAACTTAGCAAATGGTTCTGAGTCCTTCCTGCACACACCGCCCTTCCCCCCGCGCTCACGCGGACTTCGGGCCCCGCGGGGTCCTCGCAGGGCCGCACAGCGCAAGGGCCAGCCCCACACGTGGGCACCCCGGGGGCGACCCGCGCGCCCGCGCGCCCGCGCCCCAGCCGCCCCAGCCGGGGCACGGCGCCCAGCCCCGGGCCAATGAGAGTAGCGGAATTTCTTTCATTCAGTGCGGGGCCCGGCTCCTGCCCGGAAAGGGGCGGGGCGCCGCGCCGGGGGCGGGGCCGCCGCGCTTCGGGGGAGAGGGCGGTGCCCGCCCCGCGGCCGGACCAATCGGCGCCGCGCCCGGGGGGGGAGGGGGGGACCAGGCCTTTTTTCCCTCCGCGCGGGACCAATCCCGACTTTACAAGCTTGAACTTTTGCCACCCTCGGACGAGCGAGCGCGCCCGAGGAGGTACCCCGCCGCGCCGGCTCCAGGGGCAGGAGCGGCCTTAACCCTTCCCGCGCCGGGCGGCCCCTGCCGCCGCCGCGCCCCCCAGCCCCCCCCAGGGCCGGGTGGGGCGGGACCCTGCCCTGCCCCCAACTCACTCGTATTTCCCTGGGGGGAGATGTCGCGGGGCGGGGTGGGGGGGGAAGCACGACCCCTATCCACATCCCGCTCGGGGGTGCAGAGAATCAATTTGGGGAAAGGGGAGGAGGAAGCGCCCGGCCTCGAGGGGGCCCGGGACGGCTGGCGGTCCGCCTAGCTCCGAGGGAGGGCCGGGGCGACCGCGAGGAGCCGGAGAGGAGACATTCCCCGCCTCTTACCCCACCCCCTGCAACTCCCTACCTCGGGCAAGCCCGGTGCCCCTGTGCGCCCAGCGCAGCGACCCCTGACTGCGCAGGGGGTGCGGAGACCTCGTGCCATCCCGGAGGATCCCGCTACCCCAACAAATCAGCCTCCCCCCCCCTTCTCCCCAGGGACTCCAGCCGGGAAGGCACTCACGCACACCCTTTTTTTTTTTTTTTTTATTAGCCTTCTCGGGGATGGGGGTTTGCACCAACTCTAAAGTGCAATGCGTGTTTGCAAGTTTGCGCACACGCCAGGGAGAGGCGAAGCGCCGCGTTTGCATCCAAGCCTCGGTGGGTCCACGGAGCCCTCGCGCCGCTTGCCCGTGGTTTGTGTAACTCGCGCGCGCGCGTGTGTGTGTGTGCGCGCGCGCGGGCGTGTGCGGGTGCTCGCTCGTATCCGTGCCCGCGGCGCAACGCGGGCCCCAAAGCGGGCCGTGGGCGCTGTCAGGCTCGGGGAGGGGGTGCCGCGGCGAGCGTGGGGCGGGAGCCCGGGCTCGGCCCGCCCCGGGAGCCGGCCCCTCGGAGCCTCGGGCCCTGCAATGGGACGTGTTCTCCTTTAAGAGTTAAGAAACTTGAAACCTTGTTTGCGCAACAATCAGCGCCGCGGAGCCGCCAAAGTGTCTAGACTGGCATATGATGGGAGGCAGCCAATGACTCCGCGGCGCTCCTCCGGGGGCCCTCAGTGTGCGTTTGAGGAGAACAAAAAAGAGAGAGAGCCGAGCGGGGGAGCGAGCGAGAGAGCCGAGCCGAGAGAAAGAGCCGCCGGGCGCTGCCTCGCCAGACCTCGCAGGGACCGCGGGGCCACCGGGAGGCACTTTTTGTGGAGGGGGGAGGGGGCCGACCTCTGCAGCCGCGGCGCCCCGGGCGTCCGAGCGCAGCGTGGGGCGGGCTGCGACCTCTGCCTCGGTGGATTGCATTTTTAATTAAGGATCCCCAACAGCTCTTTGGGATTTTTACAGTCTCCACTCATGTGTTGACAACCCGCGTTCGGGAGAAACTTGCTCCAAGTGCATCTAGCGCCTGGGACCTGAGACGGAGTTGGCTTTCCGTGCATGCAATTCCAGGATTTTGGTTTTTGTTTGGGGTTTCTTTTTTTCTTTCTTTTTCTTTTCTTTCTTTTCCCCCCCCCTTCCTTTTTGCAGGGAGTAAGAAGGAAGCGGAGGGTATCAACGAGCCTGCCTTTCGGCTCCTGCAGGAAGAGCCCATGTAGTTAAGCGCCTGGGTTTCCAAGGCAGGGCTGCCCCGACACCTCGGGGGGGTTCGGCGCGGGCGCTTTGTGCTCATGGACCAGCCGCGCAACTTCTGAAGGCTCGCCGGCCCATGCGGGGTCTTTCCGGGGCGCGGCGCCGCCTGCAGTCCCCCCGCCAGCGCCGGGGCTGGAGTTGCTGAGCAGCCGGGCCGCCGGGGTCCATGTAGCCGCTGGCCCAGCGCGGACTGCGGCTCGGCGCGCGCGCGTCCCCCGCCGTCCCGGCCCGGCGAGCTCCCTCATGTTGCAGCCCTGCGGCGCCCCTTCGACGACAGGCTGTGCGCGACCTGCACGGCGCCCGGCGGCGGAGCTTCATGTGGGGCTGCGGCCCGCGCAGCCGGCGCCTCGCTGACCGAACGGACCACCGGTAACCGGAGACCGCCTGCCCCCCACCCCCGGCGCCAAAGGATATCGTATGTTCAGGTCCAAACGCTCGGGGCTGGTGCGGCGACTTTGGCGAAGTCGTGTGGTCCCCGACCGGGAGGAAGGCGGCGGCGGCGGCGGCGGCGGCGGCGGCGGCGGCGAGGATGGGAGCTCGGGCAGCCGCGCTGAGCCGGCCCCGCGGGCACGAGAAGGCGCAGGCGGCGGCCGCTGCGAGGTCCGCCCGGTAGCCCCGCGGCGGCCCCGGGACGCGGCGGGACAGCGAGGCGCCCAGGGCGCGGGGAGGCGCCGGCGCGCAGGGGGGCCCCCGAGGCCCCTGTCCGAGCCGGGGGCCGGCGCCGGGGGCTCCCCGCGGGACGTGGCGGAGCCGGGAGGCCCGGGCTGGCTGCCCGAGAGCGACTGCGAGACGGTGACCTGCTGCCTCTTCTCGGAGCGGGACGCCGCGGGCGCGCCGCGGGACGCCGCCGAGCCCCCGCCCGGGGCGGCCCCGGAGGCGGCGGGCGGCGGGCGGAGCCGCGAAGCCCGCTCGCGGCTGCTGCTGCTCGAGCAGGAGCTCAAGACGGTCACGTACTCGCTGCTGAAGCGGCTCAAGGAGCGCTCGCTGGACACGCTGCTGGAGGCGGTGGAGTCCCGCGGCGGCGTGCCGGGCGGCTGCGTGCTGGTGCCGCGCGCCGACCTCCGCCTGGGCGGCCAGCCCGCGCCGCCGCAGCTGCTGCTCGGCCGCCTCTTCCGCTGGCCCGACCTGCAGCACGCCGTGGAGCTGAAGCCCCTGTGCGGCTGCCACAGCTTCGCCGCCGCCGCCGACGGCCCCACCGTGTGCTGCAACCCCTACCACTTCAGCCGGCTCTGCGGGCCAGGTGAGCGCGCGCGCCCGCGGGGGGGGGGCTCCCCTCCGCGCCCCTCGCCGCGGGGAGCCCTCCGCCGCGGGACCCCGCGGGGCTGGCCGAGCTGCGGCTGCACCCGGCTGCCCCGCCCCCGCCCTCCGCCCCCGCGGGCTGGGCTCCCGGAGCGCGGGGACCCCGGGGGCAGGCGCCTCGCCCCGGCGCCCACCCTGGGAAGCGGGTCTCCGGGCACCTTCCCGAGGCTCCTGCAAACCCAACAGGGTCCGCGTTGGCGTTCCCGCCGCGGCCTCGGGGGTCTCATGTAGGCCGTGGAGGAGGAGGGCAGGCCTGGGAGAAGCCGCACGCAAGTGTCATCCAACCGCGCCCCCCCCCCCCCCCGCACACCCCACGCCCGCCCCGTTTACCCCCAGCCTGTGCCCAGGCCTGTAGCATTTTGTACACCTATGCTCCTACCTATGCTGTACCTTCCTATATCCAGGTAGATACAAGTTGTGAAATTGGGCGTAGACAGTTCATGGCTAGAGTCAGAAGTGTCCATAAATTGCCACACTGGTTCCTTTGTATAGTTTGGAGCAATGCTCTCTCCAAGTGGAGACCACCTTCTTGCCCTGCCTGGTTGCTCCCAGCATCCCTTGGGTGTCAAATGTCAGCCCCCCACTCCCCCCCGCCTCTCCTCCCCATCATTGTCAGTTCTGTGTCCAGTCTTTCTGGAGTTGAGGGTCCTGGAGGTGTCCCGAGGTGGAGGAGGGGAGGAAGCCAGGTATTTTATTTACCTCTGAGAACTGCCTCCCTTCTTTGTTCTCTCCCTGGGATTTCCCGCACCACACCCCACCCCCAGCCCTGCTTACCTGAGTGGGCCGGGAGTTCTGGAGCAGAGATGAGGACAGGTGGAGGCTTCTGGCCCCCCGGAAGCGTGCAGTTCCCCTGCTCTGACCTCTGTACTGCAGGGCTCACACATTTCAGGCCGTGGCATCCTAGGGGTGTATGCACCTTAGGTGGCATTGGGGGTCCTTCCGCGGCGGTGGGGCTGCTGGAAGATTAAAGGCTGTTGGGACTGGAAGGGCTCTGAGTTCCCTGAGTTCCCTGTAGCTCTGTCCTCTCTGGAGAGTCAGCATCCAGCCTCGTGGCCTGGACAGGGTCAGATCACAGATCTCCGGACTCCCAGTAGGGAAGGGGTGGCGGGCTCAGGATTTGTGTCGGATGTCTTGTTCACATGTGGGTAGTGGCTGGAGGGGAAAGGAAGGTGTTTCCGTGGTTCCACTGATTGGGGAGGGTGGGGGCGGCTATGGGAGAAGCAGCGCTGATCTGGCTGCCCTGGTCCCCACATGGTCACTCTGGGCCTGATTTGAGGGCTCTTGGCAGAACCTGACCCGTGGTCCATGGTAGGCTTTCTGTGCCCCTTTTTCCTCTTCCAGGCAGCTTCTCCTGGAAGTGGCTTCCTTCTCACCCATCTCTCACTCTGGGGACGGGGGTCCATCCTGTTTCTGGTTGCCTGTCCCTGGTCCTTTTTGTTGAGCGGGAGAGAATTGGTGGCACCCACGCTGTGCTGTTAGCAGGCGCTGGCAGGTATTTTTCTCTCTTACCAGATCAGTCTTTCCACAAATATTTGTTGAGCACTTACTCTATGCCAGGCACCATGCTGGGTGCTATAGCGGGGAGAGTGGAAATATGAGTAGGATCCATGCCCTTAAGAAACATAATCTTCCCCCCCCCCCCGGGGGGAGATGGGGCAGAGATGGGGGAAGAAGGGCCAGGTCATTGGGTCTGAACTCTCAGAGTGCTGTGGGATGTGTAGGTAACAGGATCCCCTCCAGGAGCTCCATAGCTCTCTCTGGAGACAGCTTTGGAGGATGGGTTGGGGAGGTGGGCAAGGAGCAGGAGGAGGAGAGAGCCAGCTGCAAGTCGAGGTGCCAAGCACGCTCAGGTGTGGGAGCATGAAGGGATGCACCCCGCCCCTGCAGGCTTAGAAGTCTACTTAGGTGGTGGTTTGAGTTTGGCACTTGGGTGGCTACAGGTTGAGGGGCGAACTGCGATGGCACGGTTCTTCCCCACGGCCCAGGTCCTAGGCTCTCTAGTAAGCCTGACCTTGGATGAGTAACCTCTGCTCACAGTCTCCCTGCTGGTTAGTGGGTGGCTCTAGGAACAGTCCCCACATCTAATTCTAGACGGAGCATCATCGGCACTTGATTCCCTTCCTCCTCCCAAAAGGAGGCACTGTTGCAGGGGCTGTGTCTGTCCTCCTGCTTCTTGGCCAGCCCTCTCCTCCCTCTCCCCATTCAGGCCACCCTGGAGGCAGTTGGGAGAACTGATGGTCTGGGAAGAGTTTTCAGTAGGCGCCAGGTTGACCCTCTTGCTTCATCCCCTGCCCGATGGCTTGGGCCGCTGGGACTTAGCACTGGGGAGCCCTTTGCTGTCCACCCCACCCCTGCTGCCTGGCCGCCAGCCTGGCTCCTAGAGCTGGGCGGGTGCATAGCTGGAGCTCAGCCGTGCGCATCCTGATAAGGAGACTGCTCCTTCCAGGACTCTGGGGGAAGAGGGCTGGGGCAGTGGGGCGGGCAGTCGGGCAGGCAGGCAGACAGATGACGGACAGACACACTCATGGAGACCAGGCACTTGGCTGGAGAGTACACTGGACAACCTAGCAGGCCAACCGAGGGGTTGGTCACCCACCAGTCACCCCGGTGCCCACTTGACCCCCACAGGGAGCACAGGTGGCAGGAGACCCCTTTCTGGGCAGTGCTGACCCCTGCTGCTCCCATCCATCAGCTTGCTTTGGGACTTTGGGGCCAGTTCCCTTCTCTGGGCCTCTTTTCCCATGTGTAAAGTGAAGGGGTGGACAGACTCCCTGGGGTTGGATGGGCAGATTCCAGGTGAGGCAGGCCTGCCTCCCCTCCCCTGCCCTCTCTCCCACACTTGTCTCAGAAAGTAGGGGTCCTCCCTCCAGGTCAGACTCTGTCCTGCACCCCCGCTTCCATGGGAGTCAGACCCCCAGCTCTCCTTCCCTTTGGTGTGTCTTTCTGTCCCGGGAGAAGCCAGTTCGCTGAGCTCCGTGCCTATGTGGACGGAAATGTGGAGAAATACTTTAATCACAGTTCTAACCTGTGTTTATACAGCTCCTTTCTCCTGAAAGTATCCATTAACTTTGGAATAAATCTCCTGCTCTTTGCTCCACCACTTTTTTTTTTCTGTAATTATATTCAGTAAATTACTATTATCCAAATTGCGCCAGGGAAAGAGACAGAGCGAGAGAGAGAACTTCTAAACGACTGGAGGAGGCCGCCTAGGAAAACACAGGGTTCCCAGGCCAGGACTATAGGAATTAGAATGGGCTAAAAAGTTTTCCTTTTATTTGGCCTGGCATTATCCCTTTGAAATGAGATCAATTTCAAGTTGGGCTTCCAAGCCCCTGCCCCGCCCCTCTGGCGGCCCCTCGGCCCGCCCGCCCTGCTCCTCGGAGCTCCTCCTTGGAGGTGAGGAAGGGGTGATAATGTGCAGTTTGCCTCTTGCTGGCGCCAGCCGGCCGCGCTGTTTATCTGGCTGCCGGGGGAATCTGGGCAATTAGGCTCAGCCGGCCTTAAAGCGCCAGGAGCTCCTTTTCTGAGGCTCCCATCCTGGGCTGGAGGTTGAGCCTTCCGGTTCTGGGGACAGGCGCTTGGGAGGCCCCCTCCCCACCTACAGCCACCCCTGGGAGGGTGGCAACTGAGAGGCCCCGGGGGAGGCCTGTGGATCCCTTCCTAAGGGAAGATGCTGGCTGCAGAGATGGGAGTGGAAGGCATTGTCCCAAACCCAAACATTCCCAGGCACGGGGAGAGGCTGGGAACTCTTCTGGCTTTAACGTTAGGGTCTAGATCCCTAAAGGCTAAGTACCCCCCAGGGGCTCACCAGAGGCGCGTCTGGACTGAGCCGAACTGAGCACTAACCTTCTGGTACACTCGGCCCCTGGCTGACTGCTCTTCACTTCTAAAGGAAGTTGGAGGAGATTCTTGAAGTTGATGCCTGAGGCTGGAGTGTCTGATGCCTGTCTGTCTGTCTGTCTCTCTCGTCCATGTCTTTCAGAGGGGCCCGCGAGGCTCTAGGAGCTTTCCCCTTCAAGTTTAGAGCATCTGAGTTATTACTAAAAAATCAATACAACTTCTGCAAGCACGAAGGTAGCTAGCTTCTAAGAGGGGAGCGGATAAAGTGCCTGGAGGCAGCCCGCACTCTTGTGACCTTCTGTCTCCCACTTGAGCACCCGCCTTGCCCAGCAGAGTGAGGGACCTAGGGGCTCCTCTCTCCCAGAGCAGTGGGCCTGGGAGTGTGGGAGTGAAGTGGATGTGCCCGTTAAAGGTCGCCCAGTCCTGTTTGGAGCAGCATTATTCTTAATAGACCTTAATAGACCCCAAACGGAAAAAGCCCAAATGTCCAGTAGCTGCTGGCTGGCTAACCGAATGTGGTATATCCATACAACGGAATATCATCCAGCCGTAAAAAGTGCCGTGAGTGCTGCTCACAGACGAGCCTTGAAAGCATTACACCGAGTGAAAGAAGCCAGACACAAAGGGCCACATGCTATTATGTGAACCTATTTGTGTGGACTGTCCAGAGTAGATAAACCTACAGAGAGAGACTGAGGGTAGATTTGTGGTTGCCTAGGGTTTGGGGTTTGAAGGAATAGGGACCCTCTGCTACTGGGTCAGGGCTTCTTTGGGGTGAGGGAAATGCCCAGTAATTACATGATGGTGTTGGTCTCACAACGCTGAATATATATACTAAAAACCACTGAATTGTACACTCTAAAACTGTGAGCCTTAGGGTATGTGAATGAGAACCCAGTTGTTTGAAAAAAGGTAAATCAGTGCTGGTCCCCAAATGGTCTCCCCCTTTGTTTAGCAGAAGTGAGACGACATCCTCTGCCTCCCCATGTGGCTGTGGATGGGTCCTTTACCTGGGCGGACCTCAGGTACCCTGCCAGTTCAAAAGGGCTGCTGAGCTGGGTGACCATGTGACGTTATCAATCCCTGGGTCTGGGGGTGGGGGTTTGTAGGCCTTCATACTTTTAACTTGCCCAGGATGGAATTTAGTATTCGGCTTCCAGCCTCTGAAGTTATTCCCCAGTTCTGTGCGAACCATCCTGCTGCAGCAAGTGGGGGCCCGGTCTGGTCCCTCCTAAAAACTCTGCAGTTCTTCAGTAGCTGGCGCGATGGACGTTTCAGTATATAGGTTTGCTTTCTGCCTCATTCGCATGAGGACACACCCTGCCCAGGAGTCGCCAGGGGTGGTGGGAGACTCGGGTGGCTCCTTCAAGAAGGGAGTTCAATAGCCCTTCTGCCCTCCTGCCTCCACGTTTTGGGTCCCAGATAAACAGCCCCTGGGAGAAATGACAGTGGCCTGGCTCCAGCTGCCACTGCCCACGGCTGCCAAATTTCACTTTTGGGGGGCAGATCTGGGCGGGCAGTTGTCCAGAGCTCCCCACCGCGTGTGGCCTGAGCCGCAGCCAATCAGATTTTTCAAAAGGAGCCCTAACACAGGAATTACAGGCCTTCTGATAAGTGAGTGGGAGAGTGGAAAGGGCACGAGGCCGGGGATCAGGAGACCTGGCTTCTGGCTGTAGCTCCTGGCTCTGCCACCAGTTTGCTGTGTGTCCCTGAGGGAGTCCCCTCCACTGGCCCGACCTCTGTGTTCACTGCACGGCCTCATTTCTCTTTCCCCTGTGGGGCTCTAGCCCTACTTGCATCTTGCCTCTTGTCCTTAGAGGCTGGTCCTCACTCAAGTCTGGTCTCTAGCCCCTCCAAGGCCTGAGGACCAGTGGGCAAAGTGGCTCCTACTTGTTGTGGGGTCCCCTTTGGGTCACCCCTTTCAGCCACTAGGGCCTTGCCTTCCACACCTTTGTCTACAGAGGCCCCCACCTCTCCATTATCTTGGTCACCATTGTCTTTGTCCGCAGATGTTTACTGAGCACTTTCAGTATACGTGATGTACTGGGTCCAGCTGGGCCGAAGGGATGTGATTTGGGGTGCCTCTTGTTGCCTGTGTCTTTGGGATGTAGAGCCAGAGTCAGGCCAGGGCCTAAATTCCAGTTCCACCATGAATGATTGGGTGGGGGTTGGGTGGGGACACCAGGCAAGTCAGTTTTGTCATCTGTAAAATGGGAATAATAATGACCATCTTACTTACTTTCGAGAAAGGATGAAATAAGAATAGGTGCCCATAAGCCTGATTAACCACGCTGTTCCTAACATCCAAAAGAATAAAATCACTTACAATACTTGAAGTTGAAAATGTCCAGCATGGAGAAAGACACAGGGTAGGCATTCAGCAAATGTTTGCTTCTCTCCCAGTGGCTATTCCATGATTCACTTTTCCTTCTCCCAAACTCCTGTCCACAAAAGATTCCCTGTTTCTCGACCTCAGAGCCTTGACTTTGTTGAAATAATTTCAGGCTGGAAAAGCTGGGTGGGGAAGAAGTGAAGCTGCATTGGGTGTATGGAGCAAAACAAATGTGCCTACAACTAATTGTGCCTTATTATAATTGCGAAAAACACTTATTACCCCTTGTGTCATTACTGATACCTGCCTAATAATAGTTATTACCGCTTTACTACCACTGAGAGTTTGTTTTAGTTTGCGATTTGATGGTGTTTAGTTTCATTTAGGGAAAATGAAGGGTCATTTCATTCATGCAAATTGTTACTTAGTTTAGCAAATTGTTACTTCCCCTAAAGCAAGAGGCTAAGGAATTCTTCTGAAGACAAAATATATGTTTTTAAGGAGGAGTATTTTAGGCAAATGAAAGGAAACTAAAAGAAAAACACCGTAGACAACGAAGAATCACAGAGGGTCTGAGCTGGGGGAGGCCATGGAGAGCTTGTGGTCCACCCTGTCTCTTTAGAAGGGGGAAGACTGAGGCTGAGAGCTGGCTGGAAGTGACTGGCCTAAGGTCTCCCGTCTGGGAGGGAAGCTGGGTTGACTTCCTTCCTAGGTTCTCGCCAGTCTCGCCCTCCTCCCTGCCCAAAGAATGTCACTTGTAATGCAGCTGATTTGGAAAGGAGCTCCTGCATCTCTCACACTCAGTTCTGATTAGAGCTGCCAAATTTAGCAAATAAAAGGACAGAATGCCTAGTTGAAGCTGCATTGCTGGTGAGCAGCCCATAATTTTTTAGTATAAGTATGTCCCAAATAGTGCAAGGGACATACGTACACTGAAAATTACGCCACGTATATCCAAACTTCGGATTTAACCGAGCATCCTGTGTTTTATCAGGCAGCCCTAGCTCGGACTTGCCCTGCACCGACGTTGCATTTGTTATAATAACAACAGTTAACAGTTTGTGCAAGTACTTTTCTAGAGTACCAAGAGCCATCTTCCGTGTATCATCTCCATCTGCCCTCCTGGCAAACCTGTGAGGTCTTTATGATTATCATCCCTATTTTAGAGCTGAGAAGGGAGACCGGCTCAGAGAAGTGAAGTAACTTGCCTGAGGTCACACAGCCAAAGGTGGCAGAGGAGGGATTAAGTCTGGTTCTGAACCTCAAGCCTCTGGCCCTTCCTGCTGGGCAGCAGAGGCGGTGGGAGACAAGAGTTTCCTGGGGGCTGGGTTTATAAGTTGAGGACACCGATTATCAAAAGCTGGCTGAACCCCCAGGTATGAAGTTCCCCTGCCCCAGCCGTGACATGTTGTGTCTCCTGTCTTCCAGAATCACCACCACCCCCCTATTCTCGGCTGTCTCCTCGCGACGAGTACAAGCCACTGGGTAAGTGTGTCCTCTTCTCAGTCCAGGGTCCCAGCCTCACTGCTGAGGGGCTGGCGGGGCGGTGGGGGCGAGCAGCAGGCCTGGCTGCCTTTGAGATGGGGCGAAGTTTTCCAAACACACCTACAGTTGGGCCAAAGCAGACCCAGGCTCTGCAGCGGGCTATTTACATCTTGAAATTCCTCCGCTCATCATTAACCTCTCTGTGACCTTTAAACATGGGCCTGCGGGAGATGAATGAGTTTTGGCTTAAGCACCTCATTGGAGATGGGTTGGTGTTTCTCCCTTTTATTCTCTCCTTCCCCCAACCCTCGGTCGGTTCTCCTTTAGCTTGCAGTAATTAGCGCTGTGACATTATAGGTAGAGCATGGTGTCACTGTTGAGAGGAGTGGTGTGTCCCCCCCCCCCCCCCCATTTTAAGCGAAGATGTTCACCTGGGAGGAAGCAACAGTGGGGACTGTGTAGGAAGCCTGTGTATTGGTGCAGAGAGCCCCTGGCATGGTCCGTCCCCAGGTGAGCTCAGTGGAGGCAGTGATGTCGCTTTAGGCAGGCCTGGTTCGGAGGCGGAATGTGTTTTCTGGAAAACGTTGTGGCTCGATGAGCAGCTCCTATTCTGGAGTAGACAAAGCATGCGGTTTTGCAAGTAGTGATGGCTTGTTTTCTGGCCCTGCTGTAGCCTCCAGTGGAGGATCCCAGGGGTGGGGCGAGTCAGTTTGGCTTTACTAGTACCAGGAGAGCCACTTCATGACCCAGGCAGTTCCCGTGGGATTCAAACTCTTCAAAGTCAGATAGCACGGCAGTGATGCTAATACATTCCACCAAGTGACCACAAGAAGTGGGTTTTGTTTTGTTTTGGGTAAAGGCCTCTTCCCAGTAGCCTGTGTCAGCATCATCTGGGAGGTCACTTCCAAGTGTCACAGACTCTCAGGCATCCAGGCCCCCTCTGGGGAGTCAGAAGTGCCCACCGGGGCCCTTCGGGACTTTGACCTCTTCCGTCTAGGAGGACAGAGGCTGTAGCATGACGGCGTGTGAGTCAGTGGTCTAATGATGGCGATCCCCTCATTGTTTCTCCCCATGGCTGGTCATCCCCTGGTCGGAGGAGCTTTATTTAGTTCTCCAGGGAACCAGAGAGGTCATCTGGTGGGACCCTGGCACTTCAGAGAGGAGGAATCTGGCTGAGGGATGGAGGGGGGGCCCCCCCAGCTAAAGAGCAGCAGCATTGAGGCAGAAACCCACGAGCAGCTCCCCTATTCAGCTAGGCCATCCCGCATCCCTCCCTCCTGGGCCTGTTTCAGCATCTCCCAAGTAAATATAATTGCACCAGTTGCTTAGAAAATCCCTAGTTCCATTGGCGGGGCGATCCCCAAATGTTCTCAGTAAATGTAACCCCTCGGTTTAAATGTCAAGGATCAGTGCCCCAAGGAATAGCAGGTCAGCCTGTGATAAAGCAGCAAAAATCAGGACACCGCCTGGCCCTGCAGAGCGACCATTTGGAAATCAACAGATATCCTGGTTATTTTACAAATGGGACAACTGAGGCCTAGAAAGAGGAAGTGACAACTTGCTGGTGGTCATACAGCTCAGGAGTCTGCACACTCCAGCCCACCATCTGTTTTTGAATGGCTCGTGAGCTAAGGATGGTTTGTACTTTTTTAGATGGTTAAAAAAAAAAAAAATCAGGAGAATACTATTTCCTGATTCGTGTGAAGATTATATGACATTCCAAGTTTAGCATCCGTACAGAAAGAGTCCTGCTGGAACATAGCCGTGTTCACGCATTTCCATATTGTTTCTGGCTGCTTCTATATGATAGTGACACAGTTGAGTAGCTGTAACAGAGATTGTGTGGCTCACCAGGCTGAAAATTTTATTTACTGTGGGGCCCTTTGCAGAAAAGGTTGGTGAGTCCTGGTTTTTATGACTGTTTTTATGGCAGACATGGGACTCAAACTTGGGCCTCCAGCTTCCAGACAGTGTCCCTCCTTGGGGTGGAGCAGTGATCAAGTTTGGGAGTGTTTTTCTCCACCAGCCACTGTGGTGCTTCTGAGGTCAGGGCTTCACTAGAAGCAGTAAATGGGAGAGTTTGGAAGAATGCATACCTGAAAGGTGGAAGCCTCCCGGGACCCTCCCAAGCTGTCCATGTTGGCTCTTTAGTGGTTCCCTTAGAAATAAGGTTCAGCGTGCGATGTTGCTACTTCAAACAAGAAGTGGCAGCAAGACTCAGGACGCTGAACACTCTGGGAACATTAGATATGAAAAGCAAAACTCTTAAGTTCCCACTTGGGCATGGTGGGTATTATTTTTATTTTAAGGAGATTTTTCGATCTGTCCTTATTTCCCTCCTAACACGTTTTACCAGCAGATAACTTTTTTGTGCCTTGATAAATAGTCCGAGCTATTTTCTGTATTATTTTCTTTTCCTTGCATTGTTGCTTTTTCATAAACAAAAAGTCAGTTTGCTTCTAAGCCTCTGTGATCACATGAGACCGAAAAACAAAATAAAACCGAGAACACCCAGTCAGCATCTGGCAAGTGGGAAACAAAAAACAAAACAAAACATAACAAAACCCCAAATTGGTTAATGTTTCATCTTCCCGTTCCCCAAACCTTGTGGTAGAAGGGGGAAAAAAAAATCCTGCAGGATTGAACAGAATTCTAGCTTGCCAGGGCCTTGGCTAATGGTTTCTGCCCTAGGAATCCCCAGCTTGGAGTGGCTCTCCTGAGCCAGGTGGGACCAGCTGAGCCAGACCTGGGCTGAGCTGGGTAAGAAGGTGACGAGCTGTCAGCCTCACAGGACATGCCTTATGACTCTTTCATACGGATGACAGCCCGTGGCTGGTAGCTGAGGAAAAATTTTGCAAGTCCACCTGCCCAGAAAGGCATTGGCTTATCTGAGTAGCAGCTCAGAGAAAACGTGCAAGAGTGTTTCCTTTCCCCATCTCGGTGCCCTGCAGACAGGGGAAAACAAATTCCCCTGTGCATTATCATGCCATTTGAAGTACTTAAAATGACTTATAAAAAAATAAAAAAAATAAAGAACACCTAAAAAACAAAAAACCAGTCCAGGCATTTGAAAGTTGCTCTGTGAGTAGGTTTGGATATTATGGAGTGGAAGAGGGAAGAGGGAAAAAAAGTTAATCTGGGAGCAAATGCTTGAGCCCTTAATTAGAGGGGTGTAAGCAGGATAGAGGAGGATGGCTGCTAACTTGTTAAAACAGAGCTTCCCCAGCTCCAGCAGGAGGAAGGAAGGAAGGATGGAAAGAAGGAAGGAAGGAAGCAAGCAAGCAAGAAGGAACAACTTTAAGAATTTTAATGGTTGTAATTAAGCACAGCAACTATGAATTGTTTAGGGGCTTAATTTATCCTTACCCGTGGAGGCTCCAAGTTGCTACTTGCTCAGTCCCCTGAACTTGGGTTATTTCTGTGGTCAGGGTAGTTGAGACTTTTTCAGGTGCCAAGGCTGCAGGAGTCAGCATTTTCCAGAGAAGTTCCAGGGCTGGCTGGCCTGGTCTCCTTATGGGACGAGGTTATGGAGTGGCATCAGAAAGTGGGGAGGGACATGTTACCCTTTGCAAGCACCCACGTGCGGACACATGTGCACACGTCCGTGCCCATGTGCACGCACACACATAGACACACACAGATGCACAAGAAGGAAGAAAAGAGAGGAGTGCCCCACAGCCAACTAAGTTGTCTTTCTCTTTCCTCCATAGATCTCTCTGATTCCACATTGTCTTACACTGAAACGGAGGCCACCAACTCCCTCATCACCGCCCCGGGTGAATTCTCAGGTTGGCATTTCTGTCCTTGCACACTGCTGTGTGTTGAACTTCACAGAGGGGACGGGGGTGGGGTGGGGGGCTTGATGGAGGCTGTTTTGGATTCCTCTCTCCTTTTCTTTCCCCCTTTCCTCCCACCTCTTGAAAGGGAAGACTCATAGTCTTTGTCGCCAGCATTGTTGGGGTTAAGGACCATCTGTACAAATGAGATCTAAAGATGGTCACTTTGAAAGTGCCTGTTTCCCCATATGTTCACCCATTGTCTCCCCTTGGCTCTCGTGGAACAGGGGAAAGCCCAGCACAACTCTCCATCCCTCATTTTAGCATGGGGAGCCTCTTCTCCCAGCTGCTGAGATGCCACAACATGCATGTTTGTATACATTTATGATGTGTGTTTCTCCTCCTGTCTCCTCTCTGGGAAAGGCTGGACGGAGAGGGTCAGAAGAGGGGAAATGGAGCGGGTCGAATGAGCTTGGGGGAGGATCTGGCAAGTGAGGAGTTCTCCAAAGGCTGGTGGCCTCCATGCTGTTCCCTGAGCAGTGGATACTGGGCTAGGAAGCAGTGAGAACCCCAGTTTGGAGTCCCCCAACCCGCTGCAATGAAGAGGTGGCCATAGGGATCCTCACATTCCTGGGAAAACCTAAATCAAGCTTAAGAAATGAGAGGTTGGTGGTGACTTGGGGGCGTCGGGGGCCAGGAGGGACTCTGGTGCCCAGGTCTCTGGGACCCTTTGGGAGTGTGGTGGATGGGTGTGCTATGAAGATAGCTGGGGCTCGTGGCCTGGGTCTGGGCTGCATGGCGTGACAGCCGTTCGGGCCACAGCTGCTTCCCCAAGTGGGCATGGCTGGCTCTCCACGTGAAGGCCTCTGTTTGTGTGCATCTGAGCTGTCCTTCCCCCGTGCTCGTGGCATAACAGCAACAGCAGTGACATAGCAGTTTATGGAGTGTTTCCTGTGGGCCACATCCTCTGCTCAGGCCCCTGTACCTGCGTCATCTTACAATAGCAGTAAAGTATGACCCAGGTCACATAGCAGCAGAGCCGTGTGCCACGATGTCACTGTGCTCCTGGCTGCTGTTCATACAACGTATCCTACAAGGGCTGAATGTACCTCCAATTCCTCTGTCCTCTGGATGAAGTTCAGTCATTCTTGTCATCCCCTCCCTGTGACCATAAGGGGGATGCGATGCTGGCTGCATGCGGCTGCCTGGCCACTTCCCCTGTCTGACCCCTTCCCCGTTCATTCTGTATTCCCTCACAACCGTAGGAGATCGAAGATTCTAGGAAAACGAGAAGCTGGAGCAGAAGGTGACTTGCCCGGGGTCACACAGTAGGGCTCGTGGCACAGCTGGTACCGGCATCCTGGTCTTCTGGGTTCCCTTTGCCTTCTGGTCTCTGGGGGCTTCTCAGATGAGGGTTCTCTTCTCTGTGCCTTTTGGCTTCTACTTGGTTATAATGCCTTTCCCTGAAAGACCTTACCAGATGAGCATAAGAAGTCAACATCTGAATCCATTCTTTTTCTTCTGTACTTGTGTGGAAGGAAGCCACATGTAATTTTGAAGCAAGAGATTTAGCAGTGTTTCTGAATGCTTGATTCTGTGCCCCTGCCAACCCTCAGAATGTATTCGATTTAGGTGGATTGCATTGGCATGGGTAGCCTGGATGGATGGGTGATTTTTTGACATCCCCTGCCCCCCTTCCACCCTAGTAATGGTGGAAACTCCCATTTGCCGAGGTGCTTTAGAGCTCCAGGTTCTGGGGTCTGTTCACAGATATAGTCTCTTTTGATCTCTGTCTTCCCAGAGCTTGGCCTGATGTGTGGCTCAGGCAGGAAGCAGCAGACCCCAGAGCACCTACGAGAACCAGGAGAGAGCACCCTCTGGAGGGGCATCTCCAGGGCCCCTGTGTCTGGGATGACCACCCAGTCATCCCTGAGCACTGTGATACTGGCCCGAGAGCAGACCCCTGCTGCTCCTTACTGTGGACGAGAGCTGCATGGTCCACATGAGAAAATGTGCTGCCTGGTGGCTTCAAATTCTGAGGGGCTAAGGGAACTGGGAAGGAAGTTTGGGGTTAGTGGTGTGGGGATGGGGGGATCAAATGGGGTTGCTGGGCCTTGGTCTGAGTTCGAGGTTATTTGTCTCAGGAGGTGAGTGGAGCATTCCTCACGTGGTCACCCAGGTACCTGCCAGGGATATCATGCACATCCTCCCATCCTGGGGGCTCGCGCTGTTCAGCTTTTCCAGCTTGTTCTTGCTGTGGGAATCTGAGGGCCCATGGGTTGACACTGCCCTTGCCTCCTGGGAGCTCATAGGGGTTATGAGGCCTCCAGGCCATCACCCTGGAGGACAGGCCCAGGGAGGGAGGCCCTGCAGGGTGAGGAGAAGGCCCAGTGGGGTGACAGGTCTCGGGATGAAGGCAGGAGTCATCTGGCTAGGATGGAATGCAGGGCTTGCCCAAGGGCAATGCAGGAGGTGAGGTTAGAAAGCTGACAGACAGAATGTGTTGGGCCAGGCCAGCCTGTTTGATGTTCAAGGACAGATAATAATGCTGCTGCTGACAACATTTGACATTTATTGACACTCATTACTTAGCACTTTGCTAAGAGCTAGTCATCCTCCATTTCATTGACTCCTTATTGCAACGCAGTGAGACAGCTATGACTCCCCCTGTTTTATAGGTGGGGAAACTGAGGCTCACTGCTGGGCCAGCTGCCCAAATTCCTGAATTGTAAGTGGCAGGCTCCAGGCCTGGAGCTTGAGCGGTGTGACTGCCCAGCCCTCCTGCCCTGAGGGTCCTGCCTGGCATTCCACAGCTAGGGTTCCCATCCCCTTTGCTGAGACATACCCTGCCAGGGACGGGGGAGGGGGGCACAAGGGAGTGTGATAAAAAAGATCCCGGGGACAGCCTGGCCCTGATTTAGAACCGGGGATAGGGGTTGCAGGGGTAGCGAGAGGCCTAGAGCTCTGTGCTCCTTGTCACCACTGGACAAACCCTGCAGACTACCCAGAGGCCACAGCGGCCAGCTGCCCCAGCCCCTCTGTTTCCCTGAGTCCTGGCAGGCTGCTGCTGCTGCTGAGAGGCTGGCCCCTCACCTGAGCAGGACGTCTGCAGCCCCAGGACAGAGACCCGTCTTGTCTGCCTTACACCACGGCAGTCCAGTGCCCAGCGTGGAGCTGTTTTTTATCCAGCTCCAGTGTTGCTGCTTCACCTTCTTGGCTGTTGTTGGGCCACTTTTGGGGGGTGGTGGGCATTGTGAGGCACAGTCATAGCCAGGGCAAGGAAGGACACGTGGGTGGCCGGGTTGGGGGGATGGCAGGAGAGACTTTCTAGTTGTGGCTCTCTGCTGAGTGATTAACAGGACACTCTCATCTGATCTGTTTATCAGCTCCTAGGTGCATGTTTCCTGCTAAACAGATAACCAGAGCTCACAGGGGACAAGTGACTCCACCAGGATTGCTCAGTGACGGGTAGACACAGAGTTTCTGCTAGATCTAAAGACTCTTGACGCCCAGAGTCTTGAAGGCCTAGAAATCCCTTTTGGGGTGCCTTCAGATGCTTGACACCCTGGATTCCTTGCCTAACTCAGGGCCTGGGTGCTGCCTCTGCCTATCTAAAGTCCCCTCAGGATATCCCCCACCCACACGCTGCCCCAGGCATAACCTCTACCTTTCTCTCATTCCCTTGATTTCAGTTTAGTTTGGGGAGGACAACAAGGTTAGCTAGTTAAATTCATACTAAGGTGTGAATGGCTGATTGACAACCCGTCTGGGCAATTTGAAGGTGACTATGCCATAATTGCAGGATAAAGGGCCACACAGACATGGCCATTGTGAGGAAGGTTGAGGGAGGAGGGCAGGGTTCTCTTGGCTCTTGACTGCTCTAGGCTAGAAGAACAGAATGAACACCACACAAGGAGCGTTATGCCCTGGGTGAGGAAGAGAAGCCAGATTAGACTCCGTGCTCGGTGCTGAGTGGGCGTTGGGCCATTTAAGGAGAGCCCGAAGTGCTGTGTTGCTGTAGAAGCCAGGCCTTCTTCACTCCAATGCCATGGGGCCCGGGGTGCAGCACTAGGCCAGCTTCTTCAGGGACCAGTGACTTCCCTCTGGTATCCTATTGCAGTGCCTATTGGGTAACTCTTTGAATGCTTTATTGAGCACCTACTGTACACTAGGTGCTGTGTAAGCTGCCAGGCACAGGGACCGAGCTGTCCCTTCGCTGACCTTGGATGTGTGTACTGGTATTTCGGTCGTCAGAGCATGCTGCGTCAGTGAGAGCGAGCCCCCTCATTTTAAAGAGGGGGAGGCCCAGCGAAGGAAGGGGGCTACGTGGGATCATGTGGGGGTTGGGAGCTCAGCTGCATGTGGGTGCCTTTCCTCTACCAATCAGATCGTAAGCTTCTCGAGGGCACACCACTCATTCTCTAGGATTCCTGCATTCTGTAGATTGACAGAGTTTGGGAGCAGAGGCTCAGAGACGTTAGAAGAGTGGCTGAGGGCCGCACTGCAGGCATAAGCAAGTATGGTCACAGCCCCGGTGGGGCTGCACTGCTCAAACACCTGCCTCCTTTCATCTCCGTGGTCTCGGGAGAGGTACCCTTTGGGGTCAGTGCGGTCGATGCTCCTTGTCAGCGCCGACGAAAGCTGGGGGAGGAGCACATTGGCACAGTGCTGGTTCCTGCGCCTTCCTCCTTCTCGGGCCCAAAGTGCTCTCCTTGGATACTCCCATCTAATAGACTCTAGAGCTGCTTGGCGAACACCAAGGTGCCCCATTCAGGTCAGGCTGTCTGTGCTGAGCCTCTGTAGCCTAATCGGCTGAAGAGCATGGGCTATGCACCCCTGGGGCCCTGGGTTCAAGTCCCAGCTGTGCCCTTCCTTCCCTAGTTGTGGGACTTTGGTGGCAGGCACTTAACCGCTATGAGATGATGCCTGTGAATCAGCCGAGGCTTGGCACGACAGCTTATGGTAGATGTGGCCATGACAGCGTGGCAGCTGCTGTGCTTACAGCTGGAAGC